CTGTCTGTGGTTCCCCACGAGCTCGTTTTGCTCACAGGAAACCCCGCTCTGGTTCCTCCCCCGTGCCCACTGTTGCAGAACCTGGTTCCCTGCACCCCAAACCAACAGGGGCAGCAGCTTTTTGTTCCTCTGGGGTCTTGTGTGAGTTTTACCAGCACCAAAGGGACCAACAGAAGCTCGTCAGGAAGGTGTCCTGATAAAACAGCAATATTTCACTGCAAGGTGAGCTCTGAAAGCTGCAAAGGGGCAGGTTGGTTTGTGGGTAAACAGATGTGAAAAAAGCACAAAGCAGTTCCCTCAGAGGGGATTTGCAGGAGGAAGCTCAAGGATGAGCTCAGATAACAGTTTCCAGAGCAGTGGGAGGGTTGCATTGGTAGGAGAAACAAACAAAAACAGGATGAGCCAGAAGGGGGTGGTGGTTCCTTATCCGGGGGTTTCCAAAGTGACAGGACAAAGGGCAGACCTTGGCAAAGCTCTAGAGCTGGAGCTGAGCCCGAAAGTGGGGGACGGATCGTTAGAGATGAAGGGCTTGTTAGTTTATAAACGAAACTATCAAGTTCCTGGACCTGCTCGATATGGCAGAAGTCTCAGTGCACAAATTCAGACCCCTCATTTCAAGCCACAATTCCAGTCCTACTTTCACTTCTGCCTCAAGTGACGACTGAACAAATTCAACGAATTCCCCTAAAAGGGCCCCCGAAGGTTCACGTTGTGAGACCCCCCCTGGTGCAGCCCGAGCTCCTGCCCAGGTTCAATCCCTCCCAAACCCAATTCTGAGCCAGAAACCAGTGGGCTGCTGAAGGTTTTAATATTTGCAAAAATGAAGTGTCAATTGGAAACTCAAAGAGACCCAGTGCAGTTACTGATTCACTCTGTCCCACTGTCATTTTTGTTCCTTTGTGATGACTAATTTCTGCCTCCCAGTGTGACTGTACAAATTCCACAAATTCCCCTAAAAGGACCCCCGAAGGTTCACGTTGTGAGACCCCCCCTGGTGCAGCCCGAGCTCCTGCCCAGGTTCAATCCCTCCCAAACCCACCGTGGTTTCCAGCTGGTTCCCTCCAGCTCCCCCCAAAATCACTGTTCATTCCACTCATCTGGAACAAATTAAAGTCCTTTTTATATCATCATTTACCTCTTTGCACCACGATTTGCTCAGTTCTCTCCTTGAGAAGCAACTCTGTCAGCAACCAGGGGCTGAAAAAAAAAAAACCAACAAAACCCCTGAAGAAGCAGCAAAAATGAGAAACCAGCCCAACCCCGCAGCAGACACTCAAACCAACCCCATGGCAGCAAAAGCCTCACTAAACCCAGCTGTAAAACTGTGACTTCTGGGGTTTATTCCCCCCTTCCCTTCAACGTGCCACGTTTAATTAATTAATTGCAGCCCCCCCAGAGACAAGGCCACGATGTGGGGGCTCAGCCCTGTCCCAGCCGGGGCTCACTGTGGGCAGGGAGCTCCCACCACCCCGAGTTTGGCAGCCCAGGGGCTGCTCTGGAGGACTCACCCTGGCAGGGCAGCTCTCGTACACTGTGAGATCTCCCGGCAGGGTCGGTTTAGTCATAAATAAGGAAATAACCTCCCCAAGAGACGCAATTTCGGTTGTTTTGGCTGCTCTCCAGCAGCTTCTCGGTACGCTTCACTTGGCATCAGGACACGTTGCTTCCCATTGGCTGGCGGGGACTCTCCGACGCTTCCCATTGGCTGCCGGGGGCTCTCTGGCGCTTCCCATTGGCTGTTTTTTCGATCCGGCCCGGCCCTTCCCTGTGGGTATAAATTGGCCTCGTGGAAAACACCGAGTTTTTTGTTGCCGGGCTGCGGTCGATCTTCTCCTTCCTCCTCGTTTTATTATTTCTTCCCAGTGCTCCCAGTCTGCCCAGTCACCCTCCAGCACCCTCCAGGGAGGGCTTCAGGGGGACACAGCACAGAAGTGCTGCTGGGGGGTCTCACCTCATTTCTGTTTGTTTTTTTCTTCCCAAGCTGGGCAAAACCGATTTTTGGACTTTTCTGCCAGAACTCTGTCCCCGTCCTGCGCTTGGCCAAAGGGATTTGGGGCCATTTTCCCCTTTTTGGGGCAAATAAAACCGATGGGTCAAGCCCCAGGAGGATGCCCAGCGGCTCCCGCCCCGGCAGTTCGGAGCCCAGGGGCACCGATTTGAGTCACCGCTTGTAAAAACGCGCCGGGGACCGGCAGGAAAAGCAGCGGCGCGTTGGCTCCGGTCCGTGGAAACTGTTCCCCGGCATTTCTTGGCTCCGCGGGGGCGTTAAAATCGCTGCGAGGGGTCCCCACCCCCCGCGTCTGAAAGAGCCGCAGTGGGAGTGGGAACAGAAGAAAAGACAGGAAATAGAGTAAAATAGAATAAAATAGAGTAAAATAGAATAAAATAGAATAAAATGGAATAAAAGGCTGCACCGAGGGGTCCCCCCGCCCGGTGTCGGGACGGGCGCTCTCGGGGGTGTCCGAGCGGGGTGGGAGCTGCGAATAAAATATAGAAAATAGAATTAAACGCAACAGAAGAGCCGCAGCGGTGCTGGAGGAGCTGCCCGGAGGGACAGACAGACAGACAGCCCCTGCCTTGGCTCGTGGGACCCACCCCGTGTCCCCGAAGAGCTGCGACGAGGGGCGGTGGCGGCGAAAGGGCCGCCCCGGGGCGGGGAGATGGGGGAGTGAACGGGAAAAAAAGAGCGAGAGAAGGCAATAAAAGAGCCGCGACCGAAACTGCGGCACCGAGGGACACTGCGAGGGGGGACGAGCGGCCCCTGCCCCGCGGCCCTAAAAGAGCTGCCCCGAAGGACCGGCGGGCACCGGTGGGAGGTGGGAATCGGGGGGGTTGTTCGCAACCGGCTCCCCCGCAAAGTGGATTTTACGAGTTATTTTTAGTTTTTATTCTTTTCGCGGTTCGGTTTCTCCTCCCCCGCCCCCCGACTTTCCCCGGCCGCGGTCCTGCCCGTGCCCCGGGAGCCGCCGAACCCGCGGGAATCGGGATTTTTCCCGCATTAACGGTGGAGTTTGGGTGCGGTGGAGGCTCAGATCCGGGCGGACTCCGTCTGGCAGATCCACTGCAGCCCCGTGTCGCAGGCGCGGGGGTCGATCCTGTCCCCCTTGAGCGCCCCGCAGGCTCCGGGACCCTCCCCGGGGTCCTGCGGGAACCTGCGTGTGCGGGAGGGGGCCCGTGTCACCCCCGGGGGGCCCTCGGGGGACAGGGGGGTGCCCACCCCGACCCCCCAGCGCTCCTCACCGGCTCCAGTCCGGGCGGGAGCCGTTCACCCACGTCCAGCCCATCCCGGGCGCGGGCACCGAGAGCCCGATCCAGAAGTGGCGCGTGGGTTTCCTCAGGGTCTCGTTGAGGGAATCCTGGCCCGGGGAAAGGGGCAGTGGTGGCGCTGCCGGGCCGGGGATGGTCACCCCAAAATAGGCTCCGTCCTCACCCCGGGACCGAGCCAGACCCATGGCACTCCCCCGGTCTGGGGAAAACGGCCCCAAATCCCTTTGCCCGAGTGGAGGAGGGGGACAGAGTTCTGGCAGAAAACTCCAAATATCGGTTTTGCCCAGCTCGGGAAGAACAAGCCACCCAGAAGTGAGGTGGGACCCCCCAGCAGCACCTGTGTGCTGTGTCCCCCCGAAGCCCTCCCCGGGGTGCTGGAGGGTGACTGGGCACACTGGGAGCACTGGGAAGGGGCTCAGCCCCCCCCCGTCACCCCCGGGAGCTCCAAGGCTCCGAGAGCCGGGATGGAACGCGGCGGAGGGAGCAGGGGAAGGGGCAGGGCTGCCGGCGCTGGACGGGGCACGAGGGACAGGTGGGGAAGGCAATAAACAGTAAAACGATGACGAAAGAAAAAACTCGGCGGCGGCGGCGAAAGGGTCAGTGAGTCACACACGTGCCATGTCACACCCACACGGCGCAGCCACGGCGGGGGGATCAAAAAACAGCCAATGGGAAGCGTAAGCGAGTCCCCGGCAGCCAATGGGAAGCGTCGAAGAACTTCGAATGGGAAGAGCCCCCGGCAGCCAATGGGAAGCCACGGTTCCTGATGCTAAATAAAGGACACTGAGAAGCTGTTGGAGAAGAGCGAAAATCAGCTCCAGCTGTTGGTGACTCTCCTTCCATATTTATTATTCAACCAACCCTACCATAAGGTCTTCCAGTCTCCGAGAGCTGCCCTGCGAGGTGAGTCCTCCAGAGCAGCCCCTGGGCTGTCAGACTCGGGGGGGTGGTGGGAGCTCCCTGCCCACAGTGAGCCCCGGCTGGCACAGGGCTGAGCCCCCACATCAGGGGCTTGTCTCTGGGGGGGCTGCAATTAATTAATTAAACGTGGCACGTTGAAGGGAAGGGGGGAGTAAACAAAGGTCACAGTTTTACAGCTTTTGCTGCCGTGGGGTTGGTTTGAGTGTCTGCTGCGGGGTTGGGCTGGTTTCTCATTTTTGCTGCTTCTTCAGGGGTTTTGTTGTTTTTTTTTTTTCAGCCCCTGGTTGCTGACAGAGTTGCTTCTCGGGGAGAGAACTGAGCAAATTGTGGTGCAAAGAGGTAAATGATGATATAAAAAAGACTTTAATTTGTTTCAGCTGAGTGGAATGAACAGTGATTTTGGGGGGAGCTGGAGGGAACCACGGTGGGTTTGGGAGGGATTGAACCCAGGCAGGAGCTTGGGCTGCACCCAGGGGGGGTCTCACAACGTGAACCTTCGGGGGTCTTTTTAAGGGAATTTGTGGAATTTGTTCAGTCAACATTGTGAGGCAGAAATGGATTTTTTAGGTGAGACACAGTGTGCACTGAACTGAGCCCACCCTTTAATCCTGAGGTTCATCTGCCGGGGTCGAGTGAGCTCGGACAGTGGCAGCGAGGTCCCCAGGACGTAGGTTTGTTTAGAGTGACCTTCTCTTAGATGGGTGGCCTTACAGAGCTGATGAGTTCCATCTGCCCAGGTTTGGGATTAGAGCTGTCCTTCTCTTCTGTGTGTTCCAGGGCTCCCCTCTCATCTCCCATTTTCTGGCTCCTTTCCATATGAATAACGCCCAGGGTTGATGTCTCCCACATGCCCATTATCCTGTACAAATTTACAAACAGAAAGCCAGCCTCCTAGGTTTCCTGAGTCATCCTGGTTTTGTTCCTTTTTCCTATCAATTTAACCCTCCCACTGCTCTGGAAACTCTGAGCACTCCTTGAGCTTTCCCTCCTGCAAATCCCCTCTGAGGGAATCCCTTTGTGCTTTTTTCACATCTGTTTACCCACAATTCCTGACGAGCTTCTGTTGGTCCCTTTGGTGCTGGTAATAACTCACACAAGACCCCAGAGGAACAAAAAGCTGCTGCCCCTGTTGGTTTTGGGGTGCAGGGAACCAGGTTCTGCAACAGTGGGCACAGGGGAGGAACCAGAGCGGGGTTTCCTGTGAGCAAAACGAGCTCGTGGGGAACCACAGACAGAAAACCCGAGCAGAAGAGGTGCTGTGAACTGCCACGGGCTATTTCCAGTCCTGTGGGGTTTTGCAAAAGGGCCCCAAAGCACAGACTCTGCTCCGAGCCCTCGGTGCCTCTCCTGAGCCCTGAAGGGGCTCCTGTCCCCTGCAAACCTGTGAGCTCTCAGTGACTTGTTTATTTAATAAAGTGTTTTTAAACTTGTCTTTCTCTTTCCTTTCTGCTTAATTTGTTTGGGGTTGTTTTTCCCCTCTTTGATCTTAGTCCCTCCCCTCCCTTATCTTTTCCCCTCCCTCTGTCCTTTGTACCATGTCCTCACAGATGTGGGTTCAGCCCTGCCCGATGGTGCCCCTTGGCACCAAGATAATGCTCAGAGCCAGTGCCAACCCCACAGGGGCTGTTGTGGCTGACAGGGCTGTGCCCAGGAGGGTCTCAGCTCCCTGCAGGTCCCCTCAGCCTCTCCTCTCCTCCCAGCCCAGGCTGCATCCACCCCACAGAGCCCCAGGGACACGTCAGCCCCTGAGACTCCTCTGCAAGGATGGGGAAAGGAACCCAAAGGCCAAATTCTTCAAGCCAGGAGGAAGCCCTGAACACCTGCAGTGATCCAGAGGAACAGTCCAAATGTGGTAATGCTGGAAAAATCCCAAATGTTCCGAGGGAGGGCAGGGGGTGGGAAGAGCATCTCGCTCCGGGGGGGCACCAGTGGGGTGGGGTGGATGGACCTGGGTGGGGCTGGGGATGGACTGAGGGTCCAGCACAGGAGGGCAAAGCAGAGGGGAGAGGAGCCAGGCCATCCTCACCCTGCTCTTTCCTGCCCCAGGGTCCTACAGAACCGAGTCAGAGCGGAGAATATCCCCCAAGGTGCGTGTTCTCCTCGCTCTGAGTGTGCTCCTGGGGATCCTCACCTTGAGCCTGGCTGGAGCAGTGGCTGGTGAGTCCCACCCAGGCACCCCCAATTTCCTCTGCTGCAATAAAACAAGGAATCAACCCCATTCTGCTGCTTTTTGGGGCTGCCCACGTGTCTGACTCAGCTCTCTGTGTTTCAGTTCTCAGTGTGAGACCCCCTTTCCCTGAGCCGGAATTCTCCCACGTGTGCCCAGACACCTGGCCTGGTTTCCAAGGAAAATGTTATCATTTTTCTGAGGCTGAGGGCAACTGGACCACGGGCCGGGCAAGGTGTGAGGCCCTGGGAGCTTCACTGGCCACCATAAGCACGAAGGAGGAACTGGTGAGGACTGGGAGGAACTGGTGAGGACTGGGAGGAACTTTTCCCTTGGGAAAAGCCCCAGGTCTGGCTGGGGGTGGGCACAGGAGGGAAGGAGGAGGTGGGGAAGGCAAGACTGGCCAAAACCAACGTTTCTTTGCCTTCCAGGCCTTCCTTCTGCGCTATAAAGGCGAAGCAAACCACTGGATCGGGCTGGGAATGGGGGATAACGGCTGGGGATGGATCAAGGGCACGGCCTTGAACGGCAGGTGGGTCCCTGTGTCCGTGCTGGAGCCCCGGGGTGGGCCCCAGGGATTTCCTGGAGTCTGGGATGCCCCATCCTGGGATGGGCACCTTCTCCTGCCCCGTGTCCAGGCAGCTCCTGGCTTTCCATGGGGGGTTTTGGGATGGGCCGAGGTCGCTGCCCCCCAACCCTGATCAGAGGATTAGAGACCCCCCCAGCCAAAGTCCTTCTCTGCCAGAGAGGAAATCCCAGCTCTTCTTATTTTTTGGGTGGAGTTTCCTTCTTTTCCTTTTCCCTTTCTCACTCTGGTCCCGTTGGCATTTGCAGGTTTGAGGTGAGGGGTGGGGGGCCCTGCGGGTACCTCGATGACGGATGGATCAGCTCGTCCCTGTGCCACACGGAGAAGAACTGGATCTGCAGCCGCCCCGACGACTATGAACTCTGGAAGGGGAAATTAGGAGACCCCAAACCAGACTTTCAACCGAAATCTCTGGTCAGATGAGGGATGTTCACCCCAGCAGTGCAACTGAAATTGTTGGGGTGAATCCAAAAATCAGGTATAAGAAGCTGGTTAAGGACTTACCAGGAGAATAGCAGAGCTCAGGCGGAGCTTAGGCCGGTGCTTCTCTTGGCCACCCATTTCGGTGGGGGGTAAATCAGCCTCTTTTCAAGTTTTTTCTGCGGAGGCCGCGGTTTGGGGGCGGTTTTGGGGTGAGAAAGGAGCCTTTTAGTGTCCATTCTCACCCTCCTGTTACTTCCGCATCACTCCCGCGCTTGTCTCCCTTTAAATACCCTCGGCTCGTGCTGATTGGCCGGTTAAACCGCGCCCCCTCACTCCCATTGGCTGCTCCTCCCCGCGCTCCGCCCCTTCCCTTTTCCCGCCCTAAGGGCGGACCTGGGTGAGAACTGCGCCCTCCCGCGGTCATTCCGAAAAAGGCGCGGGGCGGACCTGGTTGAGGACTGCGAGAGCGGGGTCCGTTTTAAGTGGAAAAAGGTGGATTTTGGGGCCGATTTCGCAACTTTTCGCCTTAGTAAAGAGCGGGCGTTTATAAAACTGAAGCTTGAAAGGTGCTTTTTAAAATAATGGGTTGGTTATACACAAAATCCAACCGAATTCAGTGTATTGTCAACGATTTGGGATGCCCCCAAACCACCAATTATTGTGAATTAATAAATGTGAGTAATATTAATTGTGAATTAATAATTGTGAATTAATAATTAATTGTGAATTAATAATTGTGTGCTAATCATTGTGCTAATAACTGATTTGTTATATCCCAAACCCACCGTTTTGGGTGTACTGATGAGTCATTTAATACACCCCAAATAATGGGGAGAACCCCCCCAAAATCCTCTGGGGAGTGGGTGCCGACTCCAGGCAGGACCTGGTTGAGCAAAACAACCCAAATTTTGGGGGAGATCTCCACTTTTGACCTTTTATTCTGCAAAATAACCTTTCAGCACCGCGAGCGGCGGCGACCGAGCGACGCTCGGCTGGGGCACCAAAACCCCAAAATAACGAGGGGAACCCCCCCAAAACTGTTCCAGGAGCAGGTGCCAACCCCGAGCGGGAGCCACAGGGGGGAATTCTGAGGCGGAATTTCCGTTTTCGACCTTTTATTCTGCAAAACCTCCTCTGGGCCCCGCTCGGCCCGGGGGCACCGCAACGGCGCCGAACCCACCCCCAAACCCCTAAAAGAGGGGGAGAACCCCCCCAAAGTGCTCCGAGGGGGCGGGTGCTAACTCCAGGTGGGGTCGTAGCCCGTCCAGTCCCGGGGGGGTGCCAGGTAAACGCGGCGGCCCCGGTACACGAAGCTGACGATGCCGCGGTAGCCGGCGCGGGGGACGCCGGATTTGAGGTCGTCCATGAGCCCCAAGGCCTTGGCGAAGGCCTTGAAGGCGTCTCGGCCGCTGTACTGGAGCCTGACGGCCCCCAAATCCCTCCTCCTGTTGCCCTGGAGCTCCTCCACCCTCACCTCGGGCGCCGCGTAGACCCTGGGCAGGAAGGAGCGCTCGTACTCGTCCTTCTTGAGGTAAGAGAGGTCCAGGCGGGTGAAAGGCACGAAGCGGTCGTTGAGTTTGATGAACTTCAGGTACTGGTCGAAGAACTGGCCGTGGCTCACGCCCTTCCTGCCGAAGGTCATGGTGCGGGACACCTCGGGCCGGACGCACGAGCGGCCCCGGCGCTGCTCCGGCTGCCTCATCCAGTCGTCCCAGAACGCCCGCGGCCACTTGGGCTCCAGCTCGTCCCAGAGCTCGGCCAGCAGGAGCCACCCGAGCCCCGGGAAGAAGTCGGTGCGGTAGAGCAGCTCGGCCTGCGACACGTCCACCATCTGCTCGCGGCCGTTGTCGTTCCAGGCCGAGACGCACCAGAGCGTGCGGTCATCGCGCAGCAGCGGCAGCGCCGCCTCGAAGTACTCGAAGAAGTCCGGGGCCACCTCCAGGTCGTCCTCCACCACGATGGCGGCGCGGTAGCGGAAGACGCGGAACACCTGGCCCAGGGCCCAGCGGTAGTGCCGGGCGATGCGGTAGTAGCCCTGGAACTTGCGGTGCTCGGGGGGCACCGGGATGTCGCTGAGGTCGGGCTGCCGGATGTGGGCCACGGCGTCGCCGTAGGAGGCGATGACCCGCGCCGTCTCGGCGTGCCCGCAGTCCTGGCTCACGATCACCGGGTGCCGCCGCGCCGAGGGCCGGTAGCGCAGCAGCTTGTCCAGGCAGCGCCGCACCGTGCTGCGGTCGCACGCCAGCACCAGCACCGGCAGCGCCGCGTCCTCCTCCGGGCTCGGAACCACCGGAACCTTGGCAGGGGGGGTCGCGGGCACCTTCTGGCGCCGCCGCAGCTCCCAGAGCCCGCTGAGCCGGTGGATTTGGCGCAGCAGCTCCTTCTGCCGCTCCAGCTCGGCCTCGGCGTCCTGGGCCAGGCGGATGAGCTCCGAGGGCAGGCGGGAAGAGGAGCCCCCCGAGGGGGACGGGGACGGGGGGCGGCTCCACAGGAAGAGCAGCAGGAGCCCGTTCCAGGCCAGGAAAAGCGCCGCCCCCCAGAGCGCCCAGCTGCTCTTCTTCGGCATCCTTCAGCGCTCAGGGCCGGGCCATGGGGCTGGGGGGGACAGGGAGGGGGTCAGAGGGAATAAAACCACCTCAAATCCTCTTAAAACCCTCTTAAAACCCTCTTTTTACACCCATTTTCCACCCAAAATGACGCCCTGACACTCAACACCCAGAGCACCCAACTGCTCTTCATGGGCATCCTTCAGCACCCAGGGCTGGGCCGTGGGGCTGGGGGGGACAAGGAGGGGCTTAGAGGGGAAAAAAACCACATTTTCAGCCTCCATTTGCACCTAAAAACCCTCTTTTTACCCCCAAAATGACGCCCTAACACTCAACACCCAGAGCACTCAACTGCTCTTCATGGGCATCCTTCAGCACCCAGGGCTGGGCCGTGGGGCTGGGGGGGACAAGGAGGGGCTTAGAGGGGAAAAAACCCCTTTTTCAACCTCTTTAAACCCTCTTTTTACCCCCAAAATCCCGCCTGGAACCACCCCCAGGAAGCTTCACCCGCCCCACAAACCCCGGCGAGGGGGAAGCGAAACCCGGGAGCCTCCCAGCACCAAAACAAAGCATCAAAAGGCCCCCAAAACACACTCAAAGTTAACAAAACGCCCTCAAAGAGGAGGAAAACCTTCTGAGAAATGACCCAAACCCCTCCTTTTTACCCCCAAAACCCCCCCCGGGGGAGCTTCGCCCGCCCCCGGAGCCGAAAAAGCAACACCCGCCCCCGGGGGAGGGGAAGCGAAAGCCCCGACGTGGCAAAAAAAGGCGTTGAAAGGCGGCCAAAAGCCACTTAAAAACCATCAAACCCCACTTAAAAACTGCCAAACGCCCTCGAAAACCATCAGGGCCCTCTTAAAAACTGCTTAAAAATTACAAAACCCGCTCGAAAACGACCCAAAACTGCTTAAAAACGATCAAAGCCGCCTTAAAAAAACCGCCAGAAGCCTCTCAGGGATTACTAAAGCCTCTTAAAAGTGACCAAAACTCTCTTAAAAGTGACCAAAACCCTCTTAAAAATTACTAAACTCGCCCAAAGAGCACCGAAACCTCCTTAAGAGCTCTCAAAACCCCTTAAAAAAGTGCCAAAACCCTCTTAAAACTGCCCAAAACCTTCTTAAAAACGCCCAAAACCTCCTTAAAAACTCTCGGGACGCCCTTAAAAACTCCCCCGACCGCCTTAAAAACGGTCAAAACCTCCCGAAAACCAACAAACTTTACCCTAAAAACGGTCAAAACCTCCTCAAAAATTATCTAAAGCCCTTTAAAAATCATCAAAAGCTCCTTAAAAATTAACAAGCCCCCAAAAATCAACCAAAATTCCCGTTAAAAATGAACAACCCCCCCTCGAAAAGTACCAAAACCCCCTAAAAAATGATCAAAACTCCCTTAAAAATGAACAAAACCCCCTTAAAAATGAACAAAACCCCCTTAAAAACGATCAGTCCCCCCTAAAAACGATCAAATCGATATTTAAAAGGATTAAAAGCCCTAAAAAGTTACCGGAGGTGCCTTAAATGAGGTGAAAACGAACCCAAAGTCCAACCTGGTTAAAATTTAACCCCAAAATCCCCCCGGGGAGGGAAAAGGGGGGGAGGGAAAATGGGTTAAAAGTCGTATTTTTGGGGGGTTTTTTACTCACCCGGAGCCCCCCCCGGTCGGAGGAGGCGGGAAAAGGAGGGGAAAAAGCAGGAATTGAGTGAAAATGAGGGAAATTGGGAAAAAAAAACACCCGGAGGAAGTGAAAGAAAAAAACCCAAACGGCAAAAAAACACCAAAAAAAAAGGGGAAAAGCCGGGATTGCTCAAGGGGGGGAGGGAGCTCGAGGGTTTAAAGATCCCCAGGGCCACGTTGGCAGGGGAAAAATGGGATTAAAGGGGGGAAAAACATCGGGAAAAGGGCATTGAAAGGGAGAGGAGGGCAGGAAAAGGGAAGGAAAGGGAGGGAAAAGGGAAAAAAGGGGAGGGAAAAGGGGGAAAAGGGAGGAAAAAGGGGGAAAAAAGGGAAGTGCAGAAAGCCCCCCAAAAAAGAGCCTCAAACCTTGGAAAAGCAGCTGGAAAAGAAGGAAAAAAGTGGGGGGGAAAAAGTGGCAAAAGTCAATTTTTTATCCCATTTTCCCCCGTTTTCATCCCGATTTTCCCCGTTTTTATCCTTTTTCCCCCATTTTACCCCGATTTTATCCGGTTTTAACTCATTTTCTTCCCAATTTTCTCCAGTTTTAACCCATTTCCTTCCCAGTTTTCCCCATTTTTCACCTATTTCCCCCCATTTTATCCCATTTTTATTGCTATTTTCCCCATTTTTTCCCAATTTTCCCTCCGTTTTCTCCCGTTTTTCTCCCGTTTCCCCCCACTTCTATCCCGTTTTTCCCCGTTTCGGGGGGATTTTAACCCCTTTTTGGGTTAAATTCGGGTTTTTTTTACCTTTCAGGGCCTCCCTCCAGGGGGAGGGGGGTCGCTGGGGTTCCCCCCTCCCCCCCCGTTTTCCAGGGATTCCCGGGAATCCCTCGGGAATGGGGGGGAAGTCGCAGCTCCTCCGGCCTCGGGGGGGCCCGGGGGGGTCACGGCGGGGGTTGGGGGGGTCCGAGGGGGTCCTAAAATGGGGGGGAAAAGGTTAAAAACCCCCCGAATTCCCTCCCAAACCCCCTCCCCGGTTCGGGAGGGACCCCGAGGGGGGGCCGGGGGGGGGCCCAGACCCAGAAAAGCCCCCCCAGACCCCCCAGAAGGGATCAAAGAAGCCCCCCCAGACCCCCCCAAAACCCCAAAAGGGATCAAAGAAGCCCCCCCAGACCCCCCAAAAGGGTCAGAGGCGCCCCCCCAGACCCCCCCAAAACCCCAAAAGGGATCAAAGAAGCCCCCCCAGACCCCCCCAAAACCCCAAAGGGATCAAAGAAGCCCCCCCAGACCCCCCCAAAAGGGGTCAGAGGAGCCCCCCCAGCCCCATTAAAGCCCCCCCCGACCCCTCCCCACGCCCCGACAAGGGCCAAAAGGGCCCCCCCAGACCCCCCCAACGGGGTCACGACTTCCCCCCCCGAACACCCCCGAGGGGCCACAGGAGCCCCCCCAGCCCCAGGAAAGCCCCCCCAGCCCACTCCCCACCCCCCAGCAAGGCCGGGCCCCTCCGCTCCCCTCGCTGCCAGGAGGTCCCCCCACCCCCTCAGACCCCCCCAAACCTCTTTCGGACCCCCCAATAATTCCCCACCCCCCCTCCCTGGCCACTCAATAAACCCCCCAAAAAATCCCCAAATTTTTTGTTCCCCCCCCCCCCCCTTTCTCCCCCCCCTCCTACCCCAGCGGCGCCTCCAGCGCCGCCAATTCCGCTCCGCCGCGCCGGAATTGCCGCCATGGCAACGGCGAGGCCACACCCCCTCAGCACAAACCACGCCTCCAAAACGTATATACGCCGCTAAACCACGCCCCGTATGATAATGAGAGCGGTCTGGCCACGCCTCGCAGTGGTGGTCACGCCCCATCCGGTCCAACCACGCCCCTCACGGTTTGGCCACGCCCCCTTCCGTGTCAGATTCGTGATCCTTGGCCACGCCCCCGACCTATCTTGCCACGCCTCTATTATCCGATCACTCCCCTCCTTTCAACTCTTGACCACGCCCCCGCCGCTCGACCCCGCCCAATCCCTCAGGCCACGCCCCCTTTCCCTGAACGATTCCCCCCCCAAAACGACCCCGAACCGCCATTGTTTAATTAATGAACTGGAGTATAATTAAGCGCTCCCGGGGGGGTGGAATTGGCGGGTCTGGGAATTGGGGGGAAGTGACGCGCCAGGAAAAGGCGGAGCCGGAGGTGCCGTTTTCGCGCGCGCCGGGAGCGTGGAGAGGTTTGGGGGGGGGTTGGGGTAAAAGGGGGGGTTTGGGGGGACGGGGAGGGTTTGGGGTAAAAGGGGGGATTTGGGGTAAAAGGGGGGGTTTGGGGTGACGGGGAGGGTTTGGGGTAAAAGGGGGGGTTTGGGGTGACGGGGGGGGTTTGGGGTAAAGGGGGTTTGGGGTCAAACGGGGGGGTTTGGGGTGGACTGGGGAGGGTTTTGGGGTCAAAGGGGGGGTTTGGGAGTAAAGAGGGGTGTTTGGGGGGGCTTTGGGGTGATGGGGGGAATTGGGGGGTTGGGCTGCTGGGGGTACCCGGGGCAGTGGGGGGGGGGTTGGGGCAATTGTAAGGGGGTTTCGTGGACTTTGGGGTCACGGGGGGGCACTGGGGGGGCTTTGGGGTGATGGAGGTGAGGGGGGGGAACTGGGGTGATGGGGGGGCACTGGGGGGGAACTGGGGTGATGGGAGGGAATGGGGGGCACTGGGGGGGCTTTGGGGGTGGTGGGGGGCACTGGGGGGGCACTGGGGTGATGAGGGGCATTGGGGTGATGGGGGGGCACTGGGGGGGCTTTGGGGTCATGGGGGGCACTGGGGGGGCACTTGGGGTGATGGGGGGCACTGGGGGGCTTTGGGGTGATGGGGGTTATGGGGCGGCACTGGGGTGATGGGGGGCACTGGGGCGGCTTTGGGGGTGGTGGGGAGCACTGGGGGGGCAGTAGGGGGGTGGGGGACACTGGGGGGGGCTTTGGGGTGATGGGGGGTACTGGGGGGGGCACTGGGGTGATGGGGGGCACTCGGGGGGCTTTGGGGTGATGGAGAGCGCTGAGGGGGGGGGTACAGGTTGTAGAACCCCCCCCGACCCCCCCCTTTCTCCCCCTCCCCCCCAGCCATGGAATTGCCCCCCTCGTGCTTCCAGTCGTGCCTGGATTTCTGCCCCGAGTGCGGCTCCGTCCTCCCCCGGCCGGGCCCCCCCCCCACCATCCGCTGCCCCCGCTGCTCCTTCACCTTCCACTGCGCTGGTCAGTCAGGGGGGGGCTCCCCTGGACCCCCTGGGACCCCCCAACCCCCCCCCGATTTGATATTTGATGGTTTTCCCCCCCACCATTCCCAGATTTCGAGGGTCGCTCCGTCCGCGCCTCCGTCGAGTTCAACCCCCTCGAGCCCCGGGCGGGCAGGGGGGGGGGCTCTGCTGCCCCCCCCGGCACCGAGGGGCCCATGGTGAGGGCAGGGAACCCCCCACCCAAAAAAAAACACCCCTGGGGAGGGTAAAAACCTGCTGGGAGGGGCAAAAAAAACACAGGGAGGGACCCCCCTTTTTGGGCCAGTTTTAACCCCCGACCCCGGGGGGGCTCAAACCCCCTCGGGGGGGGATGTTTGACCCTAATTTTGGGGCTGGGGGGGGCAGGTGGAGCGGAAATGCCCCCGCTGTGGGCACGAGGGGATGTCCTACCACACCCGGCAGATGCGCTCGGCCGACGAGGGGCAGAGCGTCTTCTACACCTGCCCCCGCTGCAGGTGAGACCCCCCCCCGAATTAATAACCCCCCCGGGGGGGGTGGGGACACCCCCAGGCCCCCCCCGTAACCCCCTTGTCCCCCCTCTGCCCGCAGGTTGCAGGAGAAGGAGGATTCCTAAAAGAGTTCCTAAAAAACAAGGGGTTTTGGGGGGGTTTGGGGGGCAATAAAAGCCCCCCCAAGGGGGTATTTTGGCGATAAAAGCCCCCCCCAGGGGGGTATTTTGGCAATAAAAGCCCCCCCCTCCATGAGGGGTGTTTTTGGGAGTTGGTCGTGGGGGTTTTCGTGTTGGTTTTTGGGACCCCCCTCCCCTCAAATTTGCCCCCCCAGGTTTGTATTTACATCATTTGCCCCCCCTTGTCATTATTTGCCCCCCCCCCCCGGTCCTCAAAGTGCCCCCCCAAAGTTGCCCCCAAACCACTGAATTACCCCCCACACCCCTCTTGCCCCCCCCGCCCAAAATTGCCCCCAAACCTCCAAACTGCCCCGAAATTGCCCCCCCAGCCCCACCTGACCCCCCCCAAAACTGCCCCCAAGCCTAAGAAATGCCCCCTTTACCCCCAAAACTGCCCCCCCAGCCCCATCTGCTCCCCCAAAAGTGCCCCCACACACCCTGAATTGCCCCCCCAGCCCCATCTGCCCCCCCCCCAAACTGCCCCCCAGCCCCATCTGCCCCCCCTCAAATTTGCCCCCCCGGCTCTGAACTGCCCCGTTTCCTCCCCCAAAACTGCCCCCTCAGTCCCTAATTACCCCCCAAACCACCCCCTCGACCCTTAATTGCCCCCCCCTTAATTGCCCCCCCCCCAAAAAAACCCCGCCCTCCGCACCCGGAAGTGCCGTACACCCCCCATTCCCCGCACACCGGAAGTGCCTTCTGGGGGACCGGATATGCCGCGACACCGCCGGAAGCGCCGCCCTCAGGGGGACCGGAAGTGCCGCCGCACACAGGGGGCGGTGGCAACAACGGCCCGGCCCGGCCCGGCCCTTCCCGGTGCCGGTAACGGGGGCACCGGGACCCGACCCCCGACCCCCCCCCCGGGTTGGGACCCCCCCCTGAGGGCCCCGGGACCCCCCCCCGGCCATGGCGGAGGCGGCGGAAAGCGGCGGCTGCGGCACCGCCACCGTCACCGAGACCGGCGCCGTTGAACCGGTGAGGGCCCGGGGGGGGGGCGATTATTGGGATTATTTTGGGAAGGAAGGAGGGAGGGGGGGGTTGGATAATGGGAATGGGGGGAATGGGGGGGCTGGAAAACGCGGAAGGGGGGTGGAGAGGGGTTTTTTTTCCCCTTTCCCGTTTTTTTTCCGGTTTATTCCCCATTATTTTCCCCTGTTTATTCCCCGTTAATTCTCCGTTTTTTCCTCCTTTCCCCCCCGTTTTTTCCTCGATTTTTCCCCATTTTTTCCCTATTTTTCCTGGTTTTTTTTTCCCCATTATTCCCATTATCCAACCCTCCTCTATTATTAAATCCCCCATTCCCATTACTCCCGTTATTCCAATTATCCAACCCCCAATTTCCCGTTATCCAACCCCCCCATCCCAATTCTCCCCGTTTATCCAACCCCCCCATTCCCATCATTATTTCCATTATCCAACCCCCAATTTCCACAGCTCCCCGTTCCAATTCTTCTCATGATCCAATCTTTATTTGGGAATGAGGGGGGGGGTTGGATAATGGGAATGGGGGGGTGGATAATGGGAATACTGGGAATGGGGGGGTGGATAATGGGAGTGGGGGGGTGGATAATGGGAATACTGGGAATGGGGGGCTGGATAATGGGAATGGGGGGGTGGATAATGGGAATACTGGGAATGGGGGGCTGGATAATGGGAGTGGGGGGGTGGATAATGGGAATACTGGGAATGGGGGGCTGGATAATGGGAATGGGATGAGTGGGTGGGATGGGGGGTGTAAACTGGGGGGGGTTGGGAGGTTTTGGGGGGGTGGGAATTTTGGGAGGTGACGACGTCGGGGACGGGGGACAGAGGCTGGGGGGGCCCTGGGGGACACTGGGGGACACTGGGGGACACTGTCACCCCCTCGGGGGGTCCCTGGGTGACCCTGGGTGACCCCGGGACCCCCCCGTGCCCCCCCCCCAAAAGGAGAACCGGTCCCTGACGCTGAAGCTGCGCAAGAGGAAGCCAGACAAGAAGGTGGAGTGGTCGAGTGACACGGTGGACAACGAGCACCTGGGCAGGAGATCCTCCAAGTGTGAGTGACCAGGGACCCCCAGGGACCCCCAGGGACCCCCCCGAATCCAGGGACCGCCCCCGAAAACCCAGGGACCCCCCCAGAGCCCCCCATCCAAGTGAGTGACCCGGTGGACAACGAGCACCTGGGCAGGAGATCCTCCAAGTGGGAGTGACCAGGGACCCCCAGGGACCCCCAGGGACCCCCCCGAATCCAGGGACCCCCCCAGCGACCCCTCCAAAACCC